ACAGCATGCGAAGCCTCTGCACCACTCGAAAATATCGATACGGTGTTTACCATATCTTGCGAATTTGACGTAGTCTGACCAATGTCTTGCATCAGTTCACAGTCACTTGACATCCACGATTTTTTTTTTAATGACATTCAATCAAGCAAAAATCCAGTCACTAGCCCTGAACTTAGTATTAACCCGCGCCCCGTAGGGCTACCGGCGGACCCTACCACCCGTAGGGGGGGGGGGGCCGTTTCGGCCCCCCCTAAGATCTCGGAAAGTTACCGGCCGATTTTCAAAATTCAAACGGCGTTCGATAGCCCCACCCGGGAACTACCTTGTGACCAAATTTCATTGACCTAGGTCAAACCGATGACGTCACAGGTCAGGTCAAAGGTCAGATTTTCACCGTTCACAGGCAATTCAAGAAATGTGCTGTGAAAGCGAGTAAATTGGTAATTTATTGAAAACCATCGATGGTACATTGTTCGTCAAACACATACTTTGCTATCTGAGGTCACTGATACCAGGTCAGGTCACAGTGAGGTCAGGTCACCGGGGGTCACAATATGAATGTGTCGTGTGATACTTGTTTTATGGTCCATTTTACATGACAAATGCGATTATGTGGGTTAGGCAGCATTTGGGGCCTGCCTAGGTCACGTTTTTGTGAAGGTCAGGTCAAGGTCAGGTCAAATTAGGTCAAATTTCAAAGTTGATATTTTTGCATAAAATGGGTATCGATTCGATGCAACTCGTCACGGGGAGTCTAATGGTGGTCTTCGTTTTGCTCTAGCCTCTACGAGTTCTAGAATTGCCAAAAATTGAGTTTGAAAATTTGACGTCATCATTTTTGAACAGTTTTTTCGCTATAACTTGGCCAAAAAACGAGGTATCGATCTGAAATTTGGTACATGGGTGGAGAATGTTTGAAAAAGTTACCCCGGCCGGCGACCGATAGTCGCGGGAAGACGATATACTCACGTTGTTCTCAACGGTCATCATCAAACCCTTATTCTGACGCATGGAATAGGATGCTGTGTTTGCTCAAGGATGAGCGTTGTATCCGACACCGTATTATTCATAACATTTTTGGAATGATCGAAAAGGCAATTTCCTTTTAAATTATTATTTCTTTTTACTTAAACTTCCAATTTCACACCGAACCCAAACCAAACCATATGCCATTTTGAGTACCTAAATGTTGCGTTTTCAGCTTTTTATTGTGTCTCAAAATAGCTACAAAAAGACAACTCACCATAGTAGAAGCTTTACAGAGAAATTGACAGATCGAACCAAGCAAAGCACTAAAATAGGTCACTGACATCCACGGGCGTAGGTAGCCTTTTTCAATGTTGGGCGGCTCTTATAATACAAACATGGAGTCGATCCAGGAATATCGACCGGTCCCGGTCTCGTAGCTCAGTTGCTAGAGCGTTGGATTCCGCGTGGCGAGAGCACGCGGGTCGCGGCCCGGTTACAACAGTCCGAGTTCGAAGCATGATGGCCGCTCGGTGTTTATGAGCACCCTGACGGGTACGCTCATAAACGGGTGTGGTTGCGGTTAGTGGCAGGTCAGTTGAAGGCAATGAGGTCAAGCAGTAGTTTTGAAAAAGTGCGCCGAAGGCGCGCCAAAATTTCGAAACTGAACAGGATGTGAGAGCAATCTTGGCATTGGCGACCACACGCGGGTCTTAGGGTTGGAGATTATGGCAAGTTAAGTAAATGGTAAATACCTACCTGATTTGCAATATTACGCCCATGGAAGTCAACATTCGAAGAGCGTGAGTTTTCTTTTCTCGTATGGAGACAGCTTTTAGGATTTACAAGAGTAGAAAAGTTACCCCGGCCGCGCCGGGGTAGGCTGAAAGTTACCCCGGCCACGGCCGGGGTGGCCGGGGCAGGTTCTCCACCCATGATTTGGTATGTAGATAGAAGACGATAGGCACTATCACATATACTCCGGTTTTTTCGAAACTCAAAAAAACTTTTTGGATTTTTTGGCGAATATATCCAAAAAAATGCTTTTTTGATTTTTGGGGGTCAAAACTCAAAAATTTCAAAAATTCGAGATAGCAGTTTTGTAGCCCTGTCAATTCTACACCTTTTATGTTGTTATCATTTTTCTGTATCTTCAAAGCTGTAGTCCTGACAGGTCTTCCCGCGAAGGTCTTTTTTCGGTCGAAAATGACAGAACATGACGTCACTCTGACGTCATTTGTGGCCAACCTATCATAGCCTCTGGAAAAATTTTTGGTCACAATGTGTAAAATTGATGGCCGGAGGGGTCCTGAAAGTTTGGTGGCGATATCTCCAGCCGTTTAGGAGATATCGACCGAAAAGGACAGGGGGGCCGTTTCGGCCCCCCCCTACGGGGCGCGGGTTAAAGTAGGGATATCTTTATTGATTGACATGGTGTAGGTTAATTTTCGATAAATGCAATAACGAAGGCTAGTGCGCTAATTACGAGCGCTAATTTCTACTGTATCGTTATTACTGCAACGGCAACCGCAAGGCAGCCACGTCCAGTGCGAGCCGCCCCGGTCCGGCATACGGCCTTGGGTGCGGCGGCTACTGCCCCGTCGGCTCCACGCATCCGACTGACCGGCTTAGGTCACCGGTCCGTCCGCCGGGAGGGCGGAGCTTAATGGTCACGTGCCTGTGACGTCACGCCTACGTACGGATAGCCTCTACTCCACTGACGGATTTACGGAGCTGATTTTAACATTACGAGGCAACGACAAGTACCCTAACAATTGATATTTTGTTAAGATACCATATTAGCGAAAATTGGCGCTTGAGCTGAAATGTGCATTGTGAAAATTTGAAGCAAATTGGACAAATATTAAAGAAATTATCGTCAAAAAACAGGGTCTCATGGGGTCTGAAATGCATAGTAGTGTCCCTAGTGGTGGTGACGCCCAAGTCTGTAGGTAGAGCCCACTGAACTCTAATATATACGAAAAGTAGAGCCGAAAAGTAGAGCCGGTAGAGCCCCCTCCCCCCCAAGTCATGCGCGGGCGGGATAAATGACGAAAATATTTTTACCCCCTACCGCCTCAGGCGATCACGTGCCGTCACCCACCTGGGCCTGGTAGTTTCAGGGCACAAGCTCGTATGCAAATTTTGTCTGCTTTTTAGACACCTCTTCACCTTGCCTCTTAGTCCCTGGCACCTTGTACGAGAGGTCACCTTCATCACCCCTAGCTCATTCCTCCGCTGCGATGGGTTTTGTTTCAGTTTCAATGACGTTTTAAATACCTTTTGTTTCTTTTTTGTATTAATATCTCGAAAACAACGCTCATTTTTCTTCAAAGTGAATAAAAACCCAAAGTTGTTGAAGATTGATTACGTTTAGACAACCTAAATTGCAAAATTAGATTTGATTAAAGCAAGGTACGTAGTACTATGATTGTGATGCTTAGTTACAAGTGTGGTCGCTCTGGGTGGTCAGCTGTTCGGAAGCGCGACATTTATTGATGCTGTGCTCCAAACAAACCAAGGCCAAACAACTAAGCGGGCAAACACTTGGTTAGACTTCAATATTCTTGCGGAAGGTAAGATAATATTTTCAATTTTTGTGCATTATTTTTGTGTGAAAATGTCTGTTTTTATTTACTTTAGGACCAGGGTGGAGCTTCCTGTACAGTTACGCGGTGACATTGAGAGGATATGCCGATGAAGTATCGTTTATTTTTTGTCGCAACCGGAAGATGTATTTACTTACCTGGTTTACTTACCTGGTTGGGTTCCAATGTCCGACTGTGAGGGAATGGCAATTTAGGAAGTTGAGGCAGGGAGTGGACTACGGAACCCCAGAAACATAAGGCGCGCCAAACAGTAGTGCTGGAATGTCCTATGAGCACAATCATAAATAAACTGTCTGGAAATGTGCGCCTCACAACAGTAATTGACATGTAGCATATACTAGTTTCCTAAGATGAGACAGTAAGACATGGTATCAGCCATTACGAGAAACAGTACAATGAGTCATTCAGTTCACTGTCTAGTTTTCCTTTAAATCGCGATACATTATCCGCGCATACAGCTTCCGCAGAGAGAGAGTTCCATACAGATATACACCTACGAGAGAACGAGCGCTTCCTTACATCGGTTCGCAAGGTCGAGGGAAAAATTTTGTAGCAGTGACCTCGGGTCCGAGATTGAGGAGGCTGTAAGAACAAGTCAGCTGGCTTGATGATCGACTTACCATGAAAAATTTTCCAGCATTGAATGAGGTCAGCACGGAGCAGCCTTCCCTGGACCGAGTAGAGGTTTAGGGCTCTCAGTCTGTCACCATAGGATAAGGACTGCATACCGGAGATGCGTTTAGTCCATCTTCGCTGCACACTTTCCAGTAGCTTAAGGTCCTGGACATATCCGGTGTTCCAGACGCAAGAACAATATTCAATAACGGGGCGTATATGTGTGGTTAAGAGAAAAAGCATAAACTTGGGGGAGCGGCACACCGTCGACTTTAGAAAACTGTATGCTAGCCCGCCTGCCCTGTGAGTGACTGATCTGACATGGTCATGAAACTTCAGGTCCGTGTCTACCAAGACTCCCAAGTCCTTAGCCGAAGAAGCGTGTGGGATGTGATTGCCATTGAGGATGTAGGTTGGGGCAGGTAGTTTCGATGAGGATCTAGGGAAACGCAGCACAACGCACTTTGCCACATTCATATGCAGTCCCCACGAGTCAGCTGTAAAGTGGAGCTCGTCAATATCACGTTGCACATCTGCTTGGCGTAAAGCTGTGGACGAAGTAGGGTGATTAACACAGGCATACACTTTGAGATCATCAGCAAAAATTTTGTAATTACATGCGAGCTGTGCGCCAACGCTGTTAATATATATCAAAAAGAGCAGAGGGCCCAAAACGGATCCTTGCGGCACGCCACTCAGTACCTCTCTTGTCTTGCTCAGCTCACCATTAATACTTACTCTCATATGGCGGGAAGTCAGAAAAGAATGTATCCAATGTAATGTGTTACCATCAACCCCTATGCATTTCAGCTTGGATATCAATATGCTATGAACGACGACATCAAAGGCCTTGCTAAAGTCGAACAAGATTACGTCTATAACGCCTCCCTCGTCAACACATTTTGACACATGGTCATACACGAGTAGTAACTGGTCCATTGTGGATCTGCCGGAACGAAATCCAAATTGGTTAGGAGATAGAATGTCATTGTTCTCCAAGAACACAGTGAGGTGATCAGCAATGATGCGTTCTAGGGTTTTGCCACAAACAGAGGTTAAGCTAATGGGACGATAGTTAAGCGGATCGTAGCGTGGTCCTTTCTTAAAAATAGGAATAACGGCTGAACGCTTCCAGTCGTCAGGCACAACCCCCTCTGCTAAAGAGCGGGTGAAGATAGTGCATAGAGGGTAAGCGATGTGTGGGGCACACTTGTTCAGCAGCAGGGGATGCAGATTGTCAGGTCCCATAGAAGAGCTGCAATCTAAAGAGTGCAGGGCTTTGAGAATGGACTCAATCGAGAATGAAATGGGGTCAATGACACAATCAGCACGTTGGTAGGGACGAGGATTGGGAGGGGCGACCGACGAGTACACGGAGGCAAACGAGGAAGCAAACACCTCGACCATCTCACCGGGTGCGTCGGTGAGCTGTCCTGACTGGAGTCTGATTGGACCGACTGAGGGTCGACCCACCTTCTTCCGACGAATGTAAGTATGTATAGCCTTGGGATTGTCTTTGGATTGAAGGAAGAGGTTCTCCTCATACTCTGCCTGGCGAGAAACCGCAAAGCTCCGGTAACGGTTGTTGACAGACTTAAAGGCAGAATATGCGGCAAATGACTCGCTAGAGCGACGACCAAGACGCGACCTGACGTTCTTATAATGCAACCAAGCTGAGTGTCTTTGGTTGATCAAACTGTTTGGAGGCCGCTTGAGCCAAGGGGGATTGTCATCACCACGCTTTGGTATCACTGGTACAAATTCATCGGTAAGTTGCTGAAGGATACCAGCAAAACGTTTAAAGGAGCTATCTGCGTCTAAATGGGCCAATTCAAAGTCCCAATCAATAGAGGCTAAGTGGGAGGATATCGCAGTATAATTACCTTTAAACCAATGCTTGTGCTTGGCACCGGTAGTCATACTAGCGTCTGGTACATCCAGAGAGAAGGCATATTCAAACTTGGTGGGGCTGTGGTCACACCCAGGGATAGGAGGGAGAACTTCTACCTGCCCAATTCGATCTGACTCAGAGGTGAGGACGAGGTCTAGTATGTTTCCGGACCTCGGGAAGGTAGGTTCTCGTATAGTGATTCTAAAATTCTTAAATCAGGGAACAAGCTGTTCATACCAATAATTTCAAAATTACCTATCGTAAACAGAGAGTCACATGATAACGCATGCTCTCTAATCATAATGGATCTTAGGATAGATAATTTTGATAGATGCCTACCTATAGTCTGTTCCATATCAAGCTTGCAGTCGGAGTTTCTTCGGCAGATCGCTCCACTGCTCAAGAATTTGCGTCTTAAAATGTAAGAGCTGTATATACAGAAATCACGCACTGCTTTCAGCAGGGCACTTTGGCTGCAAGCTTGAAACGGAACAGAGTATAGTCATGTGTTATAATCAATAATCATATCTATCATTAGAGATCATGCGTTATCATGTGACACTCCGTTTATGATAGATGATTTTGAAATTCTTGGTATGAACAGCTTCTTCCCTGACTTAAGAATTTTAGAATCATTATAGGTACATGTTCCGGTTGCGACCAAAAATAAATGACACTTCATCTGCATATCCTCTCAATGTCACCGCTTAGCTCTATGATGTTTGTATTCCTATACAGTTTGTGGGGCAGCTGCCCCACAAACTTGCAGTTTTGCCCCACCAATCTCACCTGAGCTCTGTTCGGTTGCTGTTTTTATATCAGCGTGCTGTCGGTTTTCCCCATATAAGGAGCTTATTGCTGGCGCTTCTTGGCCTCTCATTGGTCTAACAAATAGACCACTTGAATTCGACCAATGAGGAGCTAAGAAGTAGCATGCTTGCAGCCTGCTGATAAATAAATGAGGGGCGAACAGAGCTCAGGTTATATCTCACCTTATTACATCGCAATAAAGTTCCACAGCATGACGTCACCACTGCTGCCTCTCATGTCTGGTTCCAAAACGCACGTATGGAATTTATCAGGAATAATTCACATGTTAAAATAAGGCGACATTCTAGTTTTTCAGTTTCAGTTTTTGCCCGTTTTGCTGGCTAACACACGTGCTTAGTTGAGAAAGTACTGGGAGCCAAACACCTTTTGAAAAAAGAAACTACCAATAAGATGTATGCTTTGTAGTCAATATTTCAGCTTCAGCACTTGAGCTCAAAAGTGCTTTGTGAAAATTTGAAGCCAATTTAACAAATATTAAATGATTTATCATTGAAAAACAGGGTCTTGTAGGGTCTAAAATCCATAGAAGCTCTGTGTGTGTTTCAGTGGCCGTGTGGGTCGGTGCTACTACTGCTACTGCTCTGGGTGTGTTTCAGTGGCCGTGTGGGTCGGTGCTACCGCTCTGTGTGTGTTTCAGTGGCCGTGTGGGTCGGTGAGTCGTCGCGCCCCGGCTGTGTGCGGTGGACGCCGCCTGCAGCGCCATGGACCTGGACAAGCTCGCTTCCAGTCCGTCCAGGATGGCCGACCTGCAGCCCAGCATGCCCAAGTTTTTGCGAGAGTCGAGCATCGCGTTCGGCTCCGGGCAGGCTGCTGGCTTCCAGATACCATGTGTGATCGGCAAAGAGGGCCAGGTGATCGCGCACGGCCTCACCTCCGGCATGGGCATCGCCATCTTCACCAGCGGCGGCGACTCACAGGGTGAGAGAGACAGAGACAGAGACAGAGACAGAGACAGACAGAGACAGTCGCTCGGTGAGCTGCAGGAGGAGTCAGTGATGTGGGGGGGGGGGGGGGGAGGGGGCAGTCACAAGCTGTCACGAGCTGCAGAGCGCAGTTACTCAGCGCTGAGCTGGGGGGGGGGGGAAGGGGCAGTCACTAATTCGATGAGCTGCAGGGGGGGGGGGGGGGCAGTCACTAAGTCGATGGGCTGCAGGGGGGGGGGGGGCAGCAGTCACTAAGTGGATGAGCTGCAGGGGGGAGGGGGCAGCAGTCACTAAAAGCGACACAGCCTACCCACACTGCATGACACTGGTCTGGGTCGGTGGCTGGAAGGTGATGTGGGCCGCCTGTGACATCAGCGAAGCGGTGAGGGCCGAGCCCGGAGGCGCATGGCTCGGGTCGGCGCGGCGCGGCGGCTGGCGAGGGCTGGGGAGTGAGGCGGGGTGGAAGCACTGACCATCGCGCGGCTGGGCGAGTGTAGTTAACTTTCGCGTCTCCATTCGCCAAATTATTCTACCTATCAATTGCGCTAAAGCATTTGTTAAAATGCCCTATGCCCAAGACAGCGCCTATTATTTATTTGCTGTGCGTATTACGACGCACTTAAGCGTGGCAATGGGACAGCCGATAGAAGTTATATCACACGTGCATCGGTGCGCGGAGCTATATTTTGCAAAACATATTAGTATTAAAGGTAGTGTGCCAGCTTTCCTGGACCATATGGAGTTAATGACCCGGATAAGAAGAACCGGATTTTTAGAACTTATCCATGCCTTCAAAACTCATGGAAACGTCTTAAATTCTTCAAATTTTGAGTACCTACCCCAGTGCGAAGTTCGCCCCGACGGGTTGTCGGTCGTACCCCAACCAGATTTCACACCACTATGAACAATAAATGCACACACTGAAATCGCTATTACCGATAGGCTCATCCAATCAAGTTTCGATAAACCCGTTCATCATCATCTCCTGCGGTTTCGAACACGCCTGTTAGGTGGCTTCTGATGCTCGTCGAGGTCGGAATTCCCAAATACGCTGCTCATACTTTGTGGTGCGGTGGTGGTGCGTCGGGCCGCACGCTCTGACTTCGGCCAAGAAAAATGCGTCAGGTGATCATTGTCATTTCTGCCACTTTCGTGTGGTGAAATGTGGTCATAATTTAAAAGACGGCTGTTTCATATCAATTATTTTACATAAAATCATATTTCAAACCATAAATTAATGTTCGACAGCCAAATTAAAGAAACAATACCAATACAGGCTTACAGTTTAAGTTCGACATTGTGTTGTCTACGATCAGACAGCTGATAACTCATTCCCGTACGTCGTAACTCTATAACACTGAACTCTCTATAATGACCTTTGCTTATTGTCACATGTGCGCCGCATTCGCGATTGTTGCCGACGCCTGTTTGCAGGTCAGCCCACTACAGTTGTTATACATTTCGAAAAACCGAAAAACTTTTAGGCGAAAAAAGCACTATTCCAGGCCCATTTTTGATTTTTTTTTTGCGATATTAGGTAAAAACAGAAGCTTCTTATCCTAGGAAGAATAAAATGGGAAATCTTTGAAAGGTGGCACACTACCTTTAAGGTCTCGGTTGAGGAGATTGGTGTCTATTGTTTCGCACAGCGATCGTCCAGAGACGTGAGAACCAGGGGTTATGAGTAATGCGGCAGCCAACGCCCCACTTTAAAGCGATTATTACTGTTGCTCTAACGTGTGGTCGCAGCCACCAATAGCAAACCGTTCCAACTAGGAGCCAAAAAGACGGGCACTCAGGAGGGTTCGAACCGGGCTTCCTCGTGGGCCCTCGCCTCGAAGATGAGGGTGGCGAGCGAAAAAACTCAGGTGCTGGTCCTCTCTCAAGCCCCCAAGGACGCAGTCGACTGCTACATCAAGGTAGCAGGGGAGACCGTGGCCGCGGGCGCCCAGCTGAAACTCCTTGGAGTTACTCTAGACCGCACCCTCCACTTCGGGGCGCACTGCAGAAATCTGCGACAGAAGACTCGTCCCCGGATAGCCCAGCTCAAGAGGCTAACTGGGCGTGACTGGGGCCTCCGAGAACAGCAACTTCGAGCGGTGGCCAATGGATATGTCAGGGGCCCCCAAGAACATGCTGCTGCGGCCTGGCTGCCTGCCACACCCGCTTCCCACGTCGAGATCCTCGAACGTGAGGTGCGGGCGGCCGCGCGCGTGATCACGGGCTGCCCCGTCTCAACACGGACCCACGCGCTGCTGGCGGAAGCCGGTATGCCCCCGGTCTCGGAGCGGCGTCTTTCGCTGGCGGCCCGCTTCCTGGCCAAGGCGAGAGCCCTGCCGCGCGAGGACCCGCTCCGCACCGTCGCCGACGAGGTGGTGCCGGCGCGCCTGTCCTCCGTCACTGGTTGGAGACAGGTGGGCATGGAGGTTTGGGAGGCGGCTGGCGTGTCGTCGCCAATCGAGCCCATCCTCGCTAGCCGGCAACCCCCATGGGTGACCACGAACGGCGTGACCTTCCGCCTGGACGTCGGGCCCGGCCTCCCGCCGAGAGCAGCATCTGCCCAGACGAAGCTGGAGGTAGCCACTCTCCACCTGAGCGGCCTCCCACAATGCGCCACGTGGGTATGGACGGACGGCGCGGCCGACGGAGGTGTCGCCAGCGGAGGTGCTGGAGCTCTGCTCGAGCTGCCGGACGGCGAGACCCGGGAGCTGCGGGTCGCTGCCGGCAAACTCTGCTCGAGCTACAGGGCGGAGCTCGTAGCCCTCAACGCAGCACTCGAGTACCTGCGACAGCACCCGGCGCACACAGAGGATCCAGTGGTGGTCTGCACAGACTCTCAAGCGGCTCTCCGAAGGCTGCAGGAGGGGCCGTCTGCGCAGTCATCGCCCCTCGCAACTGCGATCTGGGACAGCCTGCTGGAGCTGTCGTCGAGCGGTCGCCGGGTCCTCCTACAGTGGATACCGTCCCACTGCGGAATCCCGGGGAATGAGCGCGCGGACCAACTCGCCAAAGATGCCTCAACTCTCCCCCAAGAAGACGTCCCTGTTGACGTGACCACGGTCTACCGAGCTGCGGCGAGACTCGCGCGTGCCCGTACCACCAACCAGTGGCCTCCTGGCTGGTACCGCACGCTGATGGAGGGGCGTCCCCCGCCGCCGGTTCGTGGACCCAACAGGCTGGACGCAGTGGAGACTCACCAACTACGAGCAGGACACTGGTCCGGGTCAGCCCATTACCTGCACAGAATCGGGCGGCACCCATCGCCGGAGTGCGCCCAGTGCAGTGATCGGGGATGCCGGGCAGGATGGTGCCGCGCCTGCGGCGAAGAGGCCGACACCCCGGACCATGTCCTTCTGCGGTGCCCGGCGCTGATGAACGCCCGGCTCCGCATCTTCGGCACCATCTTCCCGAGCCTGAGCGACGTGCGACGGGACGACGCGGTGGCGGCCCTGGCGAGGGTCGCCAGGTACCTCCAGAGCCGTTAGGCTACAGCTCACCAGAGCCTGGAGGGACAACACAACAATAACAACCGGGCTTCCCCCACCGGTCTGCTCACGACACGGGCGTTCATCCACTGAGCTACCGAGAATGGTCCTCAGCTGCACAAAACAAAATGATGCAGAATTATAATGTATTTGAATAGGCTCTCGCATGCGCTTTCCTGAATGCTGAAAGAGGCTGTTTCAGCCTCAATAGGGTTAACTTTATTTTATCGGGCTCCTTAAGTGGCCTATGAGCCTTACGGACTTTTTACTCAGTTGACCCTATCGTAACTCTGTTAACCTCAGTGGAGTGGTCCGGTTTGTCGGTCCGTTTCTGCTGGACTCCCATCTACATCGGCTAACACGGCAGCGAGCTGGCAAACCGGGCGGCGATTGGGGCGGCCGCCTCTGCCGGCACTCGGCGCCTGCCGCCGCCGGCACTCGGCGCCTGCCGCCGCGGGCACTCGGCGCCTGCCTCTGCCGGCACTCGGCGTTTACCGGCCGTGCCATACCCTCCTATTCTGCCAGAGTGACAGCTAGAGTGCGGCGTGCGTGGAGGCAGGAAGCTGTCTATTACAACACACTTTCTTTTTCCTTTATCCGTGCGATCAAATTGCAAATGATTATTCGTTTTGCCCCTAATCCATCCAGTCCCTATCTAGTCCTTCCGTCTAGTCAGTTGTCTATTACGACACACTTTCTTTATTTATCTCACCTTTTCCTACTTTCATCTAGTCTATATAGTCCCCTTTACCACCTGTCTGTTTTAGTCCTTTTATCTAGAGTCAGTTCTTTCCAGTGTCACTCTTGTTTTACTAGAGTACCTAACGTTGTGGGCGCAAAATGACCTTTGTAGTGGGCGCTCCATAAAACCCTAATAGACAAAGTAAAGGGTCGAGCGGGGTGTGCTCTAGGTACAGGCGGGATGTGCTCCAGGGTCGGGCGGGGTGTGCTCCAGGGTCGGGCGGGGTGTGCTCCAGGGTCGGGCGGGGTATGCTCCAGGGTCTGGCGGGATGTGCTCCAGGGTCTGGCGGGGTTTGCTCCAGGGTCGGGGCGGGGCCGAGCTGGTCTGTTCCATGGTCGGGCTGATGTGTGACTTGTGTCCGGCTCGTTTCCAGGTATGAACGCGGCCGTGCGGGCGGCAGTTCGCATGGGTCTGTACGTGGGTGCGCGCATGTACTTCATTCGCGAGGGCTACCAGGGTATGGTGGACGGCGGCGACAACATAGTGGAGGCCGAGTGGAGCTCCGTCTCCGGCATCATCCACAAGGTGAGACGCGCCGCGGACCGCCGCCGGCCGAGCAGTGCGCCGCGGACCGCCGCCGACCCGGCCGCCGGCCCAGCAGTGCGCCGCGGCATGCCGAGCGCCACGGACTCACGCAGCGTGTTCTGTGCACAACGTTCGAGATTCTTGACTCGCTTAACTATAAGAAGAGATATTGGCGCACGTTCAGTTTTCCCGAGCCACCGGCTAGTGCTCTGCTCCGGTGTTTCTGTCTAGGATGGCGCTGTAAGTGCCAAGGGTGGCACTGTGACTGTCTAGGGTGGTACTGTGACTTAACAAGATCAAATGTGGCACTGTGACTGTCTAGGATGGCAGTGTGATTGTCCAGGGTGGCACTGTGACTGTCTAAGGTGGCACTGTGACTGTCTAGGGTGGCGCTGTGACTGTCTAGGGTGGCGCTGCTACCGTCTAGGGTGGCGCTGTGACTGTCTAGGGTGGCGCTGCTACCGTCTAGGGTGGCGCTGCTACCGTCTAGGGTGACGCTGCTACCGTCTAGGGTGGCGCTGGTACCGTCTAGGGTGGCGCTGCTACCGTCTAGGGTGGCGCTGCTACCGTCTGTGACTGGTTTGTCACTTGCCGTCTAGGGCGGCACTGTGACTGTCTCTAGGGTGGCACTGTGATTGTCCAGGGTGGCACTGTGACCGTCTAGGTTGACGCTGCTACCGTCTAGGGTGGCGCTGCTACCGTCTAGGGCGGCACTGTGACGGTCTGTGACCGGCTGCCACTTGCCGTCTAGGGCGGCACTGTGATCGGCTCTGCGCGCTGCAAGGACTTCCGTGAGCGCGCTGGTCGGCTGAAGGCGGCGAAAAACCTGGTGGAGCGCGGCATCACCAACCTGGTGGTGATCGGCGGCGACGGCTCGCTGACGGGCGCCAACTGCTTCCGCCAGGAGTGGAGCAGTCTGCTGGCCGAGCTGGCCAGTACCGGTGAGACGGCCGCCCGCGCCAGTTGTCACGGCAGTCTGGTGAATACTCTTGTCGTTCATGAAAATCGTCATTGTGTTTGCCCACCGGACAGCCGATTTCCAGTTAGATAGATATTGTTCGGCCTTAGTTAACTTCACCCCTTTACCATGACAACATGAGGCATTTTTAACCCCCGAAAGCGTCGTCATTGTCATTGGCTTTTAATTGAACCGCTCCAAGTGCCTTGTGTGGACGCATAGTGCACACCTTAAGTGAAAGAGAACCGTTAGTGGGTGGTGGGCGGGCACAATGAGTGAAAAAGAACGGAATGGCGGACGAGCACCTCAAATGCTGAGCTCACGCAGCTCATGCAAGTTACTGCTGAAATCCAAGGCCAAGGTTAGATCACGCCAAAAGTTCAATGGAACTTAGAAATCATTTGTCATATGACACTTGTTACCTTTTTAGTATCGGTCATGACACTGAAAGTAGTCTGAGGCCAACTTGGGTGAGCAGCTTAACCCTCGCCAGGCGAGGGCTTTTCCACACCTAACACGGGCGGCGAGGGGTACGACAAGCTGGTACGACCCCCTGGTGATTGGCTCCTATGGCACCTAGAAACGCCAAATTTACGGGGTAGGTGGGTCCATAGGAAGTCTCGCCCCTGTGAAAATTTGGTGGCTTAAAGTCAATATTTAGTTTTTTTGGGGTATAAGTGCAAAAATTTCGCTAAGACATGTCAAAAGTTTTTCGCTTATAACTTTTTATCTGGTAAAGATAGAGCAAACATAAAAGCACCAGTGACCTCAGGGTGTCCGTGCGCATCGAATGATATACTTTGTTACCAATTTAAGTGAACTTTAAATTTTCTTAAAAATTGAGTAAACTTAACCCGCGCCGGGCCGGTGCTCCGAGATTCCGCGCCGGGCCGGGGGTGTCTGAACACCCCCCCCCCTTCTAACTCGGCTCCTGGGCCACGTAGCGACACGCGGTAAGCGGCAATCGAAAGAACGTCCAAAATAAGGACGAAAACACTTGGGTCATTTTTTTGGGCCAGGTCAAAGGTCAAGTCACCAGAGGTCACCAAAGGTAAAATGTTGACTATTTCACCATTTTGGAAACTGCCGACGGCTATCTCGGAAACCGATAGAGCTACAGCGCCGCGGAAAAGCGCATTCGATAGCCCTTTTACAGACCTTTCTGAGTATTGTTCTCAGATTTGACCTCAGGTCAACGGTTTAGCCTCCAGAGGGTAAAAACTCCAAAAATAACCGTTTTTACGAAAAGCGTTTTTCGGCAATAACTTTTGATTCAAAAGAACCGTGACATTACTTTTGCCAGCATCGTGTTCCTCTCGTCGAGACGCGTCGATTGAACTATAATTTGACCTTGAAAGGTTAACTTGAAAATTTGACCTCAGGTCAAGGTCATGACCTGACCAGAAAAGGTCATGTTGCATATCAGTCGATCCGCAACGTCGAGCCGAACACAGCTAAGGCGTTTTCAGCGCTCTAGCACGCCTCTATCAGAAGCTATTAGCGAAAAACTGTTAGATTCTGTTCGTGACCTGAGGTGACCTCGGGGACATAACGAGGGGTCACAGTTGCCATTTTCCGGTTCAGTGTGTCAATTTTACCTACATCTCGATGTTTGAGAGTGTCTAGAATAGCGTTCGTGCAAAACAGACGCTTTTCAATTTTCTCCCATTGACTTATAATGGAGAGGCCGCAAAATTGACCTGACCTTAGGTCACCGATATCAAAATTCTGAGATATATATTTTATAGATAATGTTGCTCTAATCAATCGCTGAAAGTTTCAAGGCAATCGATCAGTTGCTGTAGCTATGACGAGCATTCTTATTTTTTTTTCTGAGGTGAGGTCACTTGGCGTGGCCTGGTGACCTGACCTAAGGCGACTTGGGTCCGCGCCGCCGTTTTTGAGATATCTGCAAAAAACCGCAGGGGGGGGTGTGTGTTCAAACACCCCCCCCCCAGCCCGGCGCGGGTTAACCCGCGCCCCGTTGGGCTCTGCCGAGCAACGCGCCCGGTTGGGGGGGGGCATTTTGGCCCCCCCCCCCCTAAGATCTCGAGAACCACGCAACATAGCGACAAGCGGTAAACGGCGTTGGATAGCCCCAACGGGGAACTACCTTGTGACCCAATTTTATTGACCTAGGTCAAACCGATGACGTCACAGGTCAGGTCAAAGGTCCAATTTTCACCGTTTACAGGCACTTCAAGAAATGCGTTGTAAAATCGAGTAAAATGCATTTCATTGAAAATCATCGATGGGGAAATGTTCTTCAAACACATATTTTGCTATTTGAGGTCACTGATACTAGGTCAGGTCACAGAGGTCAGGTCACGGAGGGGTCACAATATGAAAGTGTCGTGTGATACATGTTTTATGGTCCATTTTACATGACAAATGCGATTATATGGGTCAGGCAGCCTTTGGGGCCAGCTTAGATCACGTTTTGGTCAAGGTCAGGTCAAGGTCAGGTCAAGGTCAGGTCAAATTAGGTCAAATTTCAAAGTTAATATTTTTGCATAAAATGGGTACCGAATCGATGCAGCTCGTCACGGGGAGTTCAATGGTGGTCTTTGTTTTGCCGTACGTGGTCTAGAACCGCTAAAAATTGAGTTCAAAAATCTGACGTCATCATTTTTGAACAGTTTTTTCGCTATAACTTGGCCAAAAAACGAGATATCGATCTGAAATTTGGTATGTATATAGAAGAGCGCTGGGACTATCACATATATTCCGTTTTTTTCGAAATTCGGAAAATTTTTGGATTTTTTCAAAGTTTTTCTAAAAAAATCAATTTTTTGAATTTTTTTTGGTCAAAAACCAAAAATTTTGAAAATCCGAGATAGCAGTTTTGTAGCAACGCTTTTTGTCTACTAGACCATATAAAGAACTTTGAAATTGCTTGATAACTCTAGATTTGGTGAGCGTTTCAAGATTGCATGTTTTTTGCTCATTTTTGCTCGAACATGACCTCAGTTTGACCTCAATAACTCCTGACCTAAGGTGACCTAAGACTTGAAATTTGGTGTGAAGGTGTCAAATTGATGCCCGGGAAGGTACTGAAAATTTGGCGGCGCTGCGCGCCGCCGTTTTCTTGATATTCAGGAAAAACCACAGGGGGGTGGGCCAAAATGGCCCCCCCCAACGGGGCGAGGGTTAATGTAATTAATTAAGTTTAAAGGTAGTGTGCCAGCTTTCTTGGACCGTATGGAGTTAATGGCCCAGATAAGGAGAACCGGATTTTTAGAACTTATCCATACCTTCAAAACTCATGGAAACGTCTTAAATTCTTCAAATTTTGAGTACCCCAGTGCGAAATTCGCCCCGACGGGTTGTCGGTCGTACCCCAACCACATTTCACACCACTATGAACAATAAATGCACACACTGAAATCGCTATTACCGATATGCTCATCCAATCAAGTTTCGATAAACCCGTTCATCATCATCTCCTGCGGTTTCGAACACGCCTGTTAGGTGGCTTCTGATGCTCGTCGAGGTCGGAATTTCCAAATACGCGTGGTGCGTCGGGCCGCGCGCTCTGACTTCGGCCAAGAAAAATGCGTCAGCTGATCATTGTCATTTCTGCCACTTGCGTGTGGTGAAATGGGGTCATAACTTATAAGACGGCTTTTTCATATCAATTATTTTACATAAAATCATATTTCAAACCATAAATAATGTTCGACAGCCAAATAAAAGAAACAATACAATACGGGCTTACAGTTTAAGGCTCGACATTGTGTTGTCTACGATTAGACAGCTGATAACTCATTCCCGTACGTCGTATGGTCGTAACCACAGGGGAGCAATGCCGCTTCAACCCTATTGGCCGTAGTGTCTAACGGTGGCGGCCATATTGCGCAGACCAGGAACCGGCTGCCGCCTGTGTTGAGGAATAGGGAATTCAGGACCTCGATTTGCGTTTGCGGCCGCCGTATCCGTTACGTTCAAGTTACGTAGATACGGAACCCGGCATCTTATGCAGAATTGAGTGGGGAACACGATCGTATCTTCAGAATTCCTCAAATTCACTCGCCTGACCTACATTTGCCCCGGCCGAGGGGGTTGATTGAACCCACCTCGCTAATGCACCGCTAATTAAACTAGAATTAAGCGGTAAAGTGGTCGTATGCGGCAAAGTATAATGCAGAGTGACTGGTAGGAACCCGCTGTAAGGGTCTCAGGTAAACCGGTGACCTCTGAGGTCAGGTCAAGTGATCTAAGGCACGGGTTCGGTTTTTGGTAAATAACTTCGCCAAAAATGGCCGTAGAGCCGCGATTTTGGCATCATCGTGTTCAGCTAGCTCAGGCGCATCGAGTGATATACTTTTTGTTCGGGTCAGGTCAACTTAGGGTGTTGACCTCAGGTCAAGGTCAGGTCAGCACCCCCAGGTCACGAAGTTGGTCGAAAGAGGTCATGTCGCATATCATTCGATTCGGCAGGTCTTCCTGAGTCCATTGGTGGCTTTCCCGACTCGCTAGCTCAATTTGATCGGGAGTTATTGAAGAAAAATGGTGACCCTTGTGACGTCACAAATGACGTCACGCAAGGGCAACAATGCAAATATGAAGCATAGAACCTTGCAAAGAGTGGATGAAATCATGATTTTATATGCTTGAGATAGTTTCAGATCATTCTCGGCACCAAAATAACAATTTTCATATTTCCCCATTGACTTATAAGGGTTTTACGTATAAGTTCCTTATAGCTGATGATTTTTTAGGATTTCATCTTGTTCTCCACTCAATTCTGCGTAAGATGCCGGGTTCCGTGTCCACATAGCTTGAGCGTAACGGATGCAGCGACCGCAAACGTAAATCGAGGTCCCGAATTCCCTATTCCCCAGCACAGGCGGCGGCCGCTTTCTGGTCTGCGCAACATGGCGGCACAGTTGGACACCATTTGGCGGCCGATGCGCATTCCACATTATAGAGTTCAGTGGTCGTAACACTATAATGACCTTTGCTTATTGTCACAAGTGCGCC